AGATTGGTTGGGTGGGAATGGGGGGCGTTTTGTAGAATTGTGTTGCCAGAAGGAAAAGGCGAGACACGATATGAGAATAAGAAAGTTGGAAAAGTGGAAAGAGGTACCACAGCGTTCGGTGTCAGTCGGATGGTGTTGTAGGCAAGGGGTAAAGTAAAGGTAAGGTAGCTCAGCCCGAAAGTTGAAGCTGGAGCTGATGGCGAATGTGAGGGTGAGGTGAGATGAGGGTGAATACGAAAGGACCGAGCCGAGGATTAAGTTATAAGGATGCTTATGATGAAAAATGAGAAGTCGACCGAAGATCAGCACAAGACCGAGGGGTGAGTTACTGAGAGCTAAGTAGGAACACGGGCATGAGGAAAAAGGGTCCGGAGAAGTGAAGGCTTTTAGATATGACAGTCGAGGCTGGTTGAAACGCGGCGACGGGACGGGACAAAAAAGACTGAGGTACTTTTGAGGGTCGAATACCTCTCGAGGCGAGTGTGAGAGGGTGACGGTAACGGGAGGGTGAGCGTGTGAGGGTGCGCTCAGATGTAGAGGTAGCGTCGGGGTCAGAGATTTGGGTCGAGGGCCAGATCCAGGTCCATGTCCATGTCGAGCTGCAGCAACGCCGGGGAAGGAAAGTGTGGCTGCTGTCTAAGGTCTTGTGTGTGGTCTCTGTCGAGGTCTACCGTACGGAGTGAGTAGTGTCTCTGACGTGAAAGTATCCTTACGAATACTCCGTACGGTCAGGTAAGCAGGAGAGGTTCTAGCGGGCGTGGGAGCAGGAGTGGACGTGATGACCAGTAGGAGTGGGTGAAGGCGAGGGAACGGGAGGACGAGGGCGTATTGTCCCGCCGTATTAGTGCGAAGAAAGGCGAAGAGTGTGAGCGAAGTTCGAGATGGATGTCTTGGATTTGTGGACGAGACACGAAAGGAAGTGCAAAGAGTAAGTGAGAGACGAGAGAGAGAGACACCCAGCGAGGAGACGGGTAGGGAAGAAGCTAGACGGATGGATGAAGCTAAAAAGATACGTACCAAGCAGTTCACCTCAAGCCGGTGCCACATGCGTAGTGTACGAAGTAGCCATCCCTGGAAAGGCGCAGACCGGGGGTGAGTCCGCGGGCGGGAGAGGCAATTGAAAGTGGGATGGTGGGGTGGGGCGCACCTTTGCGATTTGGAGCAAGGGCAGCACTAGGGTACGTTACTCCGTACAGCAGGCAAGAGCTCTCTCAGACTCTCACTGCTCAGTCGAAGTCGCCTTTTCTTTTTCTTTTGCCTTCCGGCTGTGGATGTGGGTGGACATGGTAGAAAAGAGACAGGGGTAGTTTCTCATGTTCTCATGGCCCAACAGGGATTGTGCAGGGTTCTCAGACGTTGTGACTGGATATGTTTCTTGAGGGGCTTCATTTGGGCCTAGCTACTTGCTCTGACACAATTCGAGGGAAAGAACAACCCGAGGTCGAAGCTACGGATTCTCAGAGGGCAGGAGCAAGCAAGCTGCAACACCACTAACAAATCCGGAGGTAGGACCGATCGTGAGAGGCAGCGGCGCAGCGCAAGGCAGGAAAGCAAGATAAGACGCAGTTCTTGACTGCCCTGCCCTACCTTACCTTAGTTATTCTCACATAGGTACCTTAGTGCCCCATGCTCAAAACCATAGGGCACTCCGTACAGCCAATTGACGCCCAAAGGGCACTGTCAAAAGGGAAGAGGAGCCCAGGAGCCGATGCAAGGGCAGAAGTATCCAGCTCTGCATGGCCCTCTTTTAGTTGGTTTTTGTCCCTGTATTCGTCAATTGCTCAAGGTATCTTTCCCGGCGGATCCTCCTACCACTGCACCTGCACATGAAAGGTATACATCGTACAGATATGTACTTTTACTCCTGTCGGTTCCTACCTGATATGAGAAATGAGGCCCAGAGCAGAGGGGAAGGACGTTGGAAGAGGACCAAGAGGGAAAGAGCACCAGTGCACGGAGCAAGGGTCCTTCGTTCCTTCCCTCCTGCATCTGCAGGTGATGAACCTTTTTTTTTTTTCTTCGAGCTTCAGTCCCAACCCCCAGCGGTAATTACCAAGTATTTTTCCTACCGCCATCTTGACAGTTTACAGTAGACAGTAACTAACTGACTGTTCCCGTCATTTTCACGGCAATTCTATCATTTTCGCTCAGACCTACTGGCTCCTTGCCGCTGCACGCTCTATGCCCTTTTCGCTGCCTCTTTGATCATTTTGTTTCGTTTCGTTTCTTCTTCCACTGCCGGCCAATATGATCGATTCCCGCACAGCGACCTCCCGATCCTTCATCGCTCATCTTCGTCACCTAGAACGAAAACAGAAAAAACCAAGTATCTTGACGATACCGGGTCCTCAGTGGTCCCCCAATCTCTACTCCGTACTATGTAGGCTATCGAGCCGTCGTCCATGCTAGATCCTCCGAGGGCCAATCACGCCGCCGCTTCGAGGCTGATTTCGGATCCTCTTCCGTCAGTCGCCAAAGTCTCTCTCTCTCTCTCACTCTCTCTCTCACTCTCTCTCTCTGTGTAACACAGTGCCCCTGTCAGTAACGTATCGAGCAGGTTTGCTTGTCATCTGTCAGCGGGGGAGAGCGATATCCACCAGCCACTCCTGCCATCTATCAAACCCATCACGGCCGTTGCGTCTTGTCTCTGGTCGCAAACAGCCTCAACGCCACCCACCAGAGGTCGATCTTGACAAGATGCTAGACGCATGACATGAAATAGCCTCAACTCAAAGACGAACCTGGAGTCTTTTAGTACCGGTACCAATGCCTACGCCGGATCATCGTTTCCCTCCAACCTTGTCACCAATGTATACAAATCATTAGGCATTAGGCAAGCCTTTTCTTGAACGATTACGCACTCTACCCGCCGTGAAGCAACGCCATGCACGACATCTAGCGAGCCTCTCAAGACGTTGGGTTTTGGAACAACCCCCCCGATTCAGGCACACTTTGGCCAGCTTGAGCCTCGCACAAGTTTGTGCCAGTGCACCACCAACTTTGACATGATGCCTTGGTGATCGGCCTCTTCACCCTGGCTCCCTACCACGGAAGCTTGGACTTAACGCCGTCAAATATTGACAGCAGCACCCTGTGCAACCTTTCTCGCTTGCATGCAACCGGGCTCGAGCGTCGTCTTCAACACTGACTGTCACCTTTTCCACCACCTCGTGCCTGTTGATCCCGCAGACACGACTCGCTTTGTCGTCAGAGCGCACATTCATGGCAGATAATTGGCCCGTTTGACTGCCAGGGCAACACGACGAACGATTTCGACGCCGACCTGGCAGCCGCGCTACTTCTGTTACCTGTTACGGAGGTGCGTCTCAATAGTCCTTGCAGTCGCTGCCAAGCCCCAGACCCACAATTACTGCCCATCTGAACCAATAAGAGCCTAGGGATTGATCTTGACCCACTTTACTTACTTTCCCCCCAGCACTGCCCATAACAACGATTTTACCCTATACACCGCCATTACGATACTACCACTAATCCTACGATAATATCAAAACCGCTAAATCGCTATTTACTACGCTGCTCTTTTTTCCTTAATATAGATCTTAAGATGCCGATAAAGAAGAAGCTAGATCTAGGCATTAGGGTAGTAATTCTTGCTTTACGAAGTCGACTTATTAGGTAGACTACTGAACAGGTCTCTCAGGCTTTAGAAATTCCAGTTCGAACTATTTACGACGTTCTTACCCGCGTAAAAAAAAACGGATTCGACCTAACTACTCCTACCTTCTCGATTAAGCCCGCCTATTACGAAAATACCCCCCGAAATGGCCGTCTAACTAAATAGACGAAAAAGGTCAATAATACCGTTATCCGTAAGGTCTATCGCGACCGGTATAGGTATAAAAAGAACTATATTAATATTATTAGGGACCTATTAAAAGACGAGGGCGTTAACGTATCTATAATAACTATTTAGTAAATCCTTCGTCGCTATAACTTCCATAAGACTAAACTAACCTACAAGCCAGGCTTAACAAAAAGGATGTAATAAGAGCGACTTAAGTAGTACCTCGACCACTAATACTAAACCCTCGACGATTAGAAGCAGGTTATATAGTCAGACGAGACTGTGGTTACCCTCAACCACCGCCGCAGTAGCTATAAGCTCTAGCGTCGCCTAGACAAGGCCTACTCTAGGCAGTACATACGAGAGAGGTAAAAAGGTTATTCCGAATTCATGTTTTAGGGGTCTTTCTTATACGATTTAAAAGGGCCGTGCCATTATTAGATTCCCGAGACTGCTACTAAGAGGAAGGCTGCCGACGCAGTAATTACCGAGCTTAACGTAGAGCTCGAGCCTGTTCGACGTCAACAGTAGGAGCTCGAGAGTAATATAGAGCAAATAGGCTTACAGAACCAACCGGGCCGTAAGCCCTAATTCAATTAGAATACGAAGTCGGGCAAGTTAATACGGAACGGCAAAGACGGAATTAACTAATACAGATACCGCAAAAAGATCCTATTACCCAAATTATTCCCTTATATCAAAGGATTACCTAGTAATCTAATCGTACAAGAGGACAAGGCACCCGCTCACGACCATCACTTCACCCACTATACGTACAGCCTTTTCGAGATTACAAAGCTTCTCTAGCCGGGTAATTCGCCCGACCTCAATCCTATTAAACCTTACTAGCCGTAGATAAAGAGATGGACCACTAGGAAGGGGGCGCCTTCGTCACGGGCCGAAGCAGTACGTCGCTAGCAAGAGTACTAAAAAGCATTACCGTAAAAAGAGATCTAGAAATAGATAAAAAAGGTACCTCACCACATCCAACAGATAATTGCCCTAGAGGGCGGCAATAAATACAAAGAGGGTCGTCGGGCTAGATTATACCGTCAAACGACCACTAATTAACCTCAATTAACGACTTTTTACCGCTAAATTGACGATAATTACAGTAGGTAGAAGTGGCCGAATTCTGCCGCTTGTACACACCCTAGCCAGCCCCTTGTCGACTCCCCTATCTATGGCAGGGGTTGGTCTTGGCAGCAACTGCAAGGACTATTGAGACGCACCTCCGTACCCTCTGAGGGCATCACCGAAAAGATCGCCGCCGCTAATGCGAACACACAAAACTTGTCAACATCAGATGAGTGTCCTCATTGCAGCCACCATAAACGCAGGGTGCTGCATCGAGCCAATGAGCCAGCACTACGAGGGCGTAAGCAGGCCAGTTGAACGAAGCTTTGCATCCTCTTACACAATGCCCTACCAAGTACGGATACCTACTTCCAGGCTTTCCAGTATCATGTACGGATGTCAAGGCCGAGCAGTCGAGTCTTTGTTGTCTCCAACATGGCAACGTCAAGTCGACCCAGAGAAAATCCACTGGGATGCTACCCTGGCATCGGAAGCATCCCAATTCTGTCAACGTCCCAACACGCAATTTACCCTCCGGCGCTGCTTTTCCCCGACTGGATATCAAGAATTGGGCCGTCGGCAGCGTCTCCATATCAAATCTTCCCTCAGCTCCGCTTCCGAGCCGGGACGTTGTCATAAACCTTCATCGCTGAATGCAGTCACGAACTTTCCTCCTAGCCTCCTAGTTGACAGCCCAGCCACCAATGGCTTGGATTTCTTGACGAGACGAGACTACGGCCGCGAAACGTCCCGGCCGCAGGGTCCAGACTTACTTCTTGATCGGCTTGAACAAACGCCCCTTTCTCTAGTCAGAGATCCTTGCTCCGACGAGTCCCTGGATTTTCAGTCGTTCGTCGGAACGGGCACAGCCAACCGGTCCTGTCACAGAAAGCTCTCAATTTTTTTTTTGGCTTTTAAACGTCTGTTCGACTACGCTGGAAGCCACCCCGCTCGCAGACCGGGCCGTGACACCAGCGACCTTGAGCCACGAAGCCATATTCATGTCGCGAATGCGGGTCTAGGGAGGACTGCCAAACGCAAGGGGCAGCGCAGCTTGACCAGCTTCTTGCGCAAGGGGTTCGTCAACGTCAAAGGTCAGAGAGGCCTAGAACAGGTGTCGCTAAAGCAACTTCTGCTCGCAAAGCCCGACTGGAAGACTCTTCAAGGACTCGCAACTCTTTAGCTGACCGGGATTCCGCAGCTTGATGCCAATGCCCGAGCTCGTCCTCAACAGGGACTTACCTACCTTGGTCGGAGCCGCTCTTCGGTCGCGGCTCGACAGCCCGTGCCTACCGCAAGTGCCTACCGCAACTTCATGTGACACAACCGACGTCGTGTCTTGCCTCTACGAGACGATGCAAAGCTATCAGATGCTGGGTCGTCGCCTCACTACTACCGTGAAGCCCGCTTTCGAGCCTCAAGTCGGTTTACAATGGGAGTAGTCTAGCCACTTTAGTGGTCCTAGGTCTCATCGCAAACCACAATATGGGCAGTTTTTCTATCCTACTTGCACTCAATCTCGACTCTGACCTCTCGTTAATGGACGATTTTCCGATGGATTTCCAACAGCAGCTTGACCGTTTCCGGAATTCTCATTCGATCATAGGGCAGACCCACATCAGTACGGAAACATCACAAAAGGAACTGAGACAACACTTACCTCCGGACGCCGCATTCACGCTTCCGGATGCGAGTCAACTTTCGCCTAAGTACCTAGCCCGACCTGAGAGGGGCAGGCAGTCACATTCAATTGACCATCGTCAGTGAGAAGACACCAGATTTAAGAGATTTAGTGATTGGCCACGGCCGCGTCAGGATATACACAAGCATTGGCGCAGGCAGTGTCGTCAAGCGAAAATGCGCCACAGTCTCGATTGATTGCTTTTCCGACCTTGATGTGGGCACCGCCTCTGCCACCTCCCTCGCAGATGAAATGGATTGGCCGCTTCATGAGCCACCCATTGGCGCCTATTTCCAGGCGAACAATTCACGAGTACCCGTCAAGAGGCAGGACCAGAGTCATGGGGGTATTCCAGAGAGTGTCAGCTCTTGACTGAACTACCCAATATTTGAAATCATCCACTTTCGGCGTCCATTAGAGGACATCGTTTTATATCCGGAGGCGCTGGCTTGCCCTTCACGACAGCAGCGACCTTGAGCCATCTCTGCTACAGGCTACTTCGGTGACGAAACCTATGACACACTTTACTACGTACACAGCTGCCGACGACATGGTGTTTTCTGAGATGTGTCCCGCAGCAAAAGTCGACGCGGCTGTCCCGTTGTGCATCCGATAAAGTTGGTCTTTCCAATATCTACCTAGGTACTGCTAGACTTGAGACCTGCATAGCAGGTGTTGCGCGAGGCAACCAGCGTCTATAGGGAAAAGCAACAACTCCCAAGTAAGATGACTTGGCCGTCGTGTCATGCAACTTTTCGGGCTTGAGAGGCCACAACTCGCGAATTAGAGTCGACGTTGTGTGCCAATTGCAATGTCAACTTTTGATCACTTGAGGCGCAGTACTGGCCCTGTCAACATCATTCCTAATGACAGAAAAGGGGATTTTGAACTCGCAGTACTTAGTCAAAGGCAGCAAACCGATTTGCACAAAAACTCTCGAGCGTGGAGTTCGCTAGCCGACAAATCTTGCAGCTCGCCATGGCCTTGACTTCCGTCCAGTCAAAGAGTGCTTGCTCATAGACCTGCTGTGAAGTTTGCTCTGAGGCAGCTGGCATTCTCCTTTTCATGGTTGAATTTCCAGCCGTCGATTGTCGCATGCCGCCCACGGCTGTATCACCTGATTGTTGGGGGCTAGACTTACGACACTGCGATGCGGCTCAGCATAATGGCCAGACTGCCTATGCAACTGCCTATGCAGGCCTCAGAGGCGTCTATCGCGCGCCGTATTACAAATTCTAATACTTCAGCTCTCATCTGTTCTTCGGCTTGCACGCAACCACTGTTTCGGTCGTCCAAGGTCCTCCGGGTCCTTGCGGGCGGCCGTAACACGTAGTAGTGGTACTGTGTCCAGAACACATTTGCTGATAGTCCCGTGTCACGGAGGATGAGCGAAGTAAGTCCTTCCCACACTTTCGCTAATCCGATCTCCCATCTCTTGTCGAGTTAACCATGGACGGTTAGATTCCCCCATCCAATCGCAGATGTCGCCAGCCGCAGTAGGTGCATCATTGACTATCAAGCAGCCACACCCTTCCGAGCCAGCCACACGATCTCATCGCCAATCACTACGGAGGGAACATCACCGTTCTCGGCAAATTTCGACGCTCCGTGACGCACGGGTAGTAGCGATCTCGGGCTATCACCTTTAATTCGAACTCGCAATGTCGGAAGTGAACCGCAGAACCACGTCCAACGCTAGAAGCCACGAGCTCTGATGTAGCCACCCGCACTCGTCGATTTCCTGTTGGCCAAGCCTCTAGACGAGAGACATCAAACGTGTTTCTGCTAAGCTTAGTAGTCAGGAAAATTATTTCTCAAAAAAGAAATAATAACAGCAGGATGTGTGTGTACCTACCAGCCTTCGAGTCAGAAAAGTCGCCTCTTCCTGCTGAATGACGACGAATATATTGGTGGCGGCGGGCCTCCATCACCACGCAGAGCTGGCGATGCAAGGGGTGCAGGAAGCTTTCGCCTACATCGTGCTTACAACGTGGGATCACGACCGGGTCCGGGGACATTACGGTCTAGATCTTAATGCTCAGGAGATAGGTATTGCTCCAGAACTGAACACCGGCGAGACCGGCTGCCCCGTCGTGCAGGTCCCGGGAATGCATGGCGGCGCGGCCCCTCCCAATGGTGTCCAGCTGGTTGCAGACATTTGCAGCAGCAAGACCTACACATCGTCAGTGCAGGTACGCTGCGGCCGATGCTGCCGGGGATACTGGACCTCTGCTTCCGACTACGGTAGTCGGTCTAGGCCCTTTTGCTGTCGATGTAGTGCCCCTCCCGTCGAAGCCTTGCCGGATTCTGTCACTGCCTGGCGAAGGGTCACGGGTTTATGGCTCCTGAAGCACGACGGCCGTACTAACAAGCCACAGGCAATTCCCGTCGCCTAGTCGAAAACCAACATGACTAATACTTCGATTTCCGGCGGGACTCCCCATCCGGACTATAACCATTCGAAGGTAACTAAGATCTCGACATCTAGAACGTCGAGTCCACGAGGTTGCTACTGAAGAAAAGCAATCTTTCCTTTAGGTATCACAGAGGTAGGAAGACATGCTCCAAGCGGATCTCGTATCTACGTTCTCTCTCTCGTGGAGCCGAGATGCTGGACGACTATTGCTTGTAAGCCGTGACCTCGAAAGCCTCGACACGAGACACGCGACACGCGATACGAACTGAGAAGAATGTCTTCATCTCCACGCGGGTTCCAGCCCCAGACATACGCACAACCATTGATCCATCGCCTCGCTCTTCCACATGGGCGGGGGGCGTGGTGGTCGACTAAACGATCCAAGCTGAGACATGAAGGGAAAGCTCGTGCACTGGCAACCGTTCCAACGGGCGCGTGCTTGGGCATGAGAGAAACACATAGACAATTCAATCTTGCAAATGTGCTGTGGGAGGAAGGGAGGGATGGAGAGAAAAGTGTGGAAATGAAAGTGACAATGTTTTAATATACCCCCGGTGCCCCCGGTCCCTAGGCCGTTGATGGCGAGTACCTAGGGATGGATAAGTTGAAGACTTTGGACGACGGGACGGGCGCAAAAGGAAGACCTATCCGATTTAAACCTGGAAACCACGTTTAGGACGGTTAGGTCTTTCTCTTTTTTTTTTGTCTTGCCATACAGAAGGAAATCGTTGTTTCCCACGTTTTGATTGTTGAACTTGCATCGACTATCGAGCGTTGCGTCGCTCTCGGGAGGAAGGGAGGGAGGGAAGAAGCAACGTGTCTCTGATATCTTTAAGCGATACGGAACCATGGATTTCGCCATTTTGCTAGTCTTGTCTTGCTCGATAATCGATTTTCGTTTCATCGTGGAGGTTGGGTACTTTTCCAGGGGAAGCAAGCATGTTAGTTGTCTGGCGAGACCGAGGCGAGCGGACTCTTGATCGATAGATTTGCAGTCGAGGTATGCAATTTAGCGGCGTGTTTCGTCTTCGCACTGAAACATGCTGGAAAATGTGATGAGATGTCAAGTCGTGTTGATACCTCGATGTCTGCAGTGATGTATGGGGATATTGCTGGACGTGGCGGAAGTATGTACTCAGTAGTAGAGCTCCATCAGCTAGGTAAACGAGGATATATGTTTGATCGATGGTAACTTTGAGATATCGAGATGAGTACGTATTCCAAAGACCGGCTCTACACGGTGAACACGCTCTGCCTCCTCGCTGGTCCCCCCTTCATTCTTACAGTTCTTTCAGATCGAGTGCGATGAAGAGGTGAGTCTGGCTGCTTTGCCGAGGATCTTCTATCTTATGGTGGGGCGGTTGAATGGGAGATAGTCCCGTGGTGTTACCTCTCTTCCATATGCGAAGCATGTTCATCCTTCCTTTGGCCGTATGTCAATCAGGATTCTTCATCTTTCATCCTCAAAATCATGATAACGAGTCCTCAGCGCAGAATGGTCCACACATATGCAGGAAACGAATGAGCCTCCCTCCTTTGGACCTTTGGAAAACTGGAACGGAGATCTTACGCCATGGACCTTCGCGTAGACGTTGAGCTTCCGTGTATAGCGATATTTTCCCCCTGTAGTGGAGTATGATTGAGACATACCAATCTCATGAGCCGTAGTCTCGAGGTAAGTATGATCACCAACGTCGTTGAACAAGATAAAGCGAGGTTTTCGAGAGATGGGCCTCAGAAAGACTCGATGGAATGTGTCGGATACTGGAAACATTTCCTCTTATGCATCTCTTTGCTCTCATCCGGGCTGTTCAGAGTCTTGTTCTTTAGTGTTACACATGGAACTCGAGCAGTTGAAGTGCTTACTTGGTTTCGAGTCTCCTGTGAATTTGTTTCAAGAAAACCTGAGAAATGGGTCTTTTCGGGTCTTGCGAATGATCATGGCAGACTTTCCGTTGCTATTAGTCCCCCCTTTCTTACTCCCACTCCGAAGTACGAGACAGCCGTCCTTGGCTACTTTGGAACCAGGACTTGAGCAAACGATTATGACACGGGTTACTGCAAGATAGTTTGGTTGTAATCGTCTCATTTGAATCTTCCTGTCTGCCTAACTCATCTGACGATTCGAATCCAGCATCTGGACTGGACCTGTGCGAGAAAGATCCGTTTTCTTTCATACCTTCCGTCACATCTCGCCCTAATCGTAAGCCAACATCTCGTGCTGCCCACCCGAGGACATATAAAACGCAGGGAAATATCAGTTCCGATGGCCCTGTCAGAGTGATGAAGGCTGGTTTAGGCTCATCATGTGATGCGGTTCAGACATTGGCAAGAACCTTCTCCCGAGAGGTCTTGCACGAAACCTTGTGAATCTTCCGATGGGCTCTCTGGCAGTCCTTTGGAAATATCAGCTTCAGTTCTCCAAGAATCCTGAGGAATTTATGAACCCACAATGCCGCAGTACCAAGCCGCCTGGCAATGACCGCACTTCTTCAACTTGATTCCGTGGTCTTCCTGCATCTTGCCGCATTGGAAGCAGCTAAGACCAGTCTGTCAGTTGATACCTCATTTGGGAGACCTGCCTAGACCTGCCTTGGCTCGTGAAAGTCTCGGGGCGTTCCCGACTGGTAGTTGTCGAGCGCAGCAAGAAACTGTGCCTTGCCGGGGTCACGGAAACCAAAGTCCTTAATCGGCAGGGCAAAGCGATACTGGCAGGGGACCTTGGGAACGAGGTCGCGCAGATGCTGCAAGTCGTCGGCCTTGATCTTGGCTCCAGCACGCATCATCAAGGCGCCGATCACAATGGTCTGGTACTGGCCTTGATGCTTGTGCTCAAGAGCGCGATACTTCTTGAGGAGCTTGTCGCCAACTCCGAAGTCAAGTCGTTCTCGAATCTTCACGACAAGGGCGCGGATGCCCTGCGCGTGTTCCTCAGTTTGATAGAATTCTCTTATTTCCACGGGAGCCAACATATCCGTTTTATTGATCAAGTAGTAGAGATCTAGACCGTCGCCGAGAGTTTCTCGAATTGCGGCGACGATGTCAAGATCTCCGTCGCCCTCGAAAAGACCTGTATGTGCCACTGATTAGCGGAAGATCAGAGAGGAAAGAGCAAGACCTCGTACGGAATCCCCAACGACCCATGCTGCTGACACTAAGAGGTCTCTTCAGGAAGAACCAGTGCACCAACGATTTGAGAACGTGTACGCAAGCAGACCGAAGGAAGCGATGATTCAGACACGAGAAGGTGCTCTCAAACAAGAGATGATGAGGTGAAAGCGGAGGAAAAGGAAGTGAAGTTGGAAAAGTCTGAGAAGATGTGGAAGAGTTGAATCAGGCAGGTAGGTAGGTACCTTAGGTAGACGACGGGATGGTTCACCTGCCGTTTGCACGGAAGGCAGGAGCCATGACCTACGACCGCTCCTTCACCAAACGTCAAGGAAGGAACACATGCTTGCTTTTGGGTAGTGATAGTCACATGAGCCAAGCATCGATATATCTGGATGACCAAAAAAAGAGTTCAACCCCCTCCCCCCCCCCGGTGCCGATTTGGGGGCTACATCTCTTGGTGCTCGTGCTGGGATTCGAACTCGGGTACTCGTTAAGCCTGTCGTCGAGTAGGCTGGTTGGCGTAGAATTGAATTGTTGACCATTGACCACTCCACATCCAGCCAGTTTGTCTTGACCCCCGACCTAGAGGGCGCCTGCTGGCTGGTGACAGGAATGGACCTGGAGGGGTATATGAAGGCTTCCCGTGTAACCAGGTGGAAGGTACTGTACGATTGATACCCGCTTGCTCCTTCCTTCCGGGACTACCCACCCACCTTAGGCAGGCACCGTCTCATGACGCCCCCATGAAGGTTGAGGTGCGTCACGGGGAACATCTCGCAGCATACGCAGGGAGGATACAAATCATCAAATACCAAGGTTTGCCGAGAGCAAATGCTGTTTTGTCTACGTCTACGGATCTCATGGTCTTGTACGATATTTGACCTTTGCCAATAAGTGTGCGTGTATTTGAGGACAGGCCATTGACCAAACAGATGCTCTGAGAGGATATATCCATCTGCAGCGTGCCGATGAACATGCCGTGCTCCTAAAGTACCTAGATTCCGATCCCAAGTGCCTCCAGGTTTTCATCCAATTCTCATAAGCCCCCCTCAGGAAGCTGAGCGTCCCCCCTTAAGGTTGTGCCAAAGAGAGGACTTTTGATTATCTACGTTCAGCCAGTAACCGAATATCAGACCATCCGCGAAGTTCGAACATCACGCTCATCTGCCAAGCCAGTATTATGCAATTAGGTATCACGGTGAGATCGACATTGGGAATCAAATGGGCGGTAAGGGAGAATGGTAATGAGGTGGTACGTTGTGGTGAATATTGGGCTGCCTAATCATATGGCAGCGATCGCCGCTTATGCTCCTCCTCGAAGTGACTTGAAGAACTGTCGAATGAATCCATACTGCCATTTCTTTCCACAAATCCAACGAGTATAGGTTGGCATGTTGACCTATGGCTTGTTCAGGGGTAGAGGAGGCCGATTACCAACGTGCCTGTTCTGCCCGATTTCTTTTTCGTTCGCAATCTTGACATTCATCCCCAAACGCCAATGGTATCCGTGAACCAACCTCCAACTACAAAGCATGCGAGGTATCGATATCTTTATCCGTAGCTTATCTTCGCGGGGGAGGGTTGAAGCCTGGGGCTCCGCCAGGAGGGCCGGGGTTGAAACCAGGAGGAGGGAAGGGGGCATTTTGGGGGAAGCCCGGGGGCGGGAAGGCGCCGGGGAAGCCTGGTGGAGGAGCTGTAAAGCGTGAGAAGCGTATTCGCGGGTCGGAGGGGTATATGTACTTACCACCACGTCCGCCAAAGGGCGGGGCACCGGGGAAGCCAGGGAATCCGGGAGGAGCGCCACCTCCAACGCCGGCAGCAGGGCCCTACGTCAAAAGTCAGCATACGAGGCTCAAGAACAGAGATTGATGAGGTACTAACTGCTAGTGATGGGGGAGCCGGGGCAGCGCCGCGGCCGGCGGGTCGTGCAACACCAGGACCAGCGGTGAGACCAGCCGAGATTCCGCCAGGCGCACTCTTTCCAAGTCGCGCGCTGGGGTCCGCAGGAGGCTCTGATTCGACTGAGAGAGAGACAATGTGTGCGCCGCGGACAATCGTCAAGCCAAGGGTTCGCTTCTCCTCCTTCTCGATCGTTTGGCCTGAGCTGGAGCTAGCGCCAGGGGCGGCAGGCTTGTTCTGTCTGATCTTGACGCGTCGGAACTCTTCGGTATCAGCAAGAACGAGGTTCATGTGCTTTTTATAGGGTCAGCATGTTCATAGAGACGCGATTGAGGGTGGAATTGGGTTGCGCACCTTGTCAAATGCAAGCATCTGTCCCGTCATCTGGCGGCCATCATTCAAGGTAACCCTCATACGGTAGTTGATCTATGAAAGTCGCGTCAGCGGTACTCAGCGCAGTCGTCAAAATCGGTCGTCGGGGATATTTTGAGAAAAAGTACGTACGTAACCAGCCTAGATTTGAATCACTTCGTGTCAGCCTGTTTTGTCAACCTTGAAACTTTGAGAGAAAGGTCAGGAGTTGCTCACCATCTTGCCCTGTTTGTTCGACATCTTCGCTGGCGTTTTTGAGTAGCTACTTTCGTAGCTGCTCTAAATCTTCAAAAAATTGATGTTCTTCTTGTTGCGAAGTCTGAGGGACTTCGGCGCGACTTTTGATGCTTGCGATGGGCAGAGCTTCAGCAGTCAGAGTATATGGAGACAAATTTCGGGAGGCTGAGGGAACCTTGGAAGGCTGAGGCCAAACGACCTTCCATGCTCAAAAACGGTACGTAGCTAGATGTGGCTGAGAACAGAATCCACTTGGGGACTGCGTGGCTTGAGTCTGTGGCTGGAGACGCGGGTAAGTTTAGTGCACCGCTCTGAAGTGGGTCGTCACCCACCTTCCTTGCAAGGGCTCGCAAACCCCCCAAAACACAAAGTCTTTTTTTGCCAATTGGCGCCGAACTTTTTCTCACTTCGACAATCGACAATCGACACCAAACGCCCAGCCAGCCGTACCGCAGTACTAACCGCCAAAATGTCGTCCGAGAAGGCCCAGAACCCCATGCGCGAGCTTCACATTCAGAAGCTCGTCCTCAACATCTCCGTCGGCGAGTCTGGTGACAGACTGACCCGTGCCGCCAAGGTTTTGGAGCAGCTGTCCGGTCAAACCCCCGTCTACAGTACGGCATCACCAAAAATTCCAGGGACGAGAAACGATTGACTAACAGTACCCGATAGGCAAGGCCCGCTACACCGTCCGTACCTTCGGTATCCGCCGTAACGAAAAGATTGCTGTCCACGTCACCGTCCGCGGCCCCAAGGTACGACAATTTTGGCGAATTTGCAAACTGCGCAGGAGGGATGGTGGACTGACTGGATCATACAGGCTGAGGAGATTCTCGAGCGTGGCCTCAAGGTCAAGGAGTACGAGCTCCGCAAGCGCAACTTCTCCGAGACCGGCAACTTCGGATTCGGTATCTCTGAGCACATTGATCTCGGTATCAAGTACGACCCCTCCATCGGTATCTACGGCATGGACTTCTACGTCTGCATGACCCGCAAGGGCGAGCGTGTCGGCACCCGCCGCCGCTGCAAGGGCCGCATCGGCTCTGGCCACCGCATCAAGCGTGACGAGACCGTCAAGTGGTTCAAGTCTCGCTTCGATGGCATTGTCCGATAAATGCTTTCATTTCTGCGACGAACGAAAAAAGACACTGGGACGGCTTGGGTTAACGGTTGGCGAAAAAGCGGGAAACTGGCTTATAAGGCATGTACTTTCCAGCAGTTGTTCATACAACACGCTTGACTTGAGCAAAAATTCAGTCAAGCCGCGGCCTCAGAGACCGACCGGCATCATGCCGGCTTACAACACAAGTTCCTCCTTGCCGTGATGCTGCACATGATTTATTTGGTGATGATGGCCTGCGATATGGAATTGGCCCGGCGTTGGTGGTTTAGCTAGTCTATTTTAGTCCAAATGAGCTCAATTTCTCTGTTACCGACTCGAGTCTGCCACCTTGCGTGAGAATGGTAGCCTCACATTTCCTACTGAAGTTCGTCCTCGCTTCGGACGGGTGCACGTGACCAACGTTGCAGTGAGATTCAAATTTGGGCTCAATGCTCAACGGCGGGTAAGACTGCGAGGCTGACGGCAGAACTACGACTCGGATTTCACATTGCTCCGAGGCGGTCAGGCTCGGTGTTCCCGGCCGGACGGAGGCGCCAAAGTCCCACAGCTTCAGTAAGCCTTCCGACTACCTACGGACCTTACACTGTGTCCTGAGCCCTCTTGGCCCTCAACAGGTGCATGGAGAGGTTGGCATTCCTTAAGAGGGTGGTGGGAATGGCACGGTGGAGAGCTCTGCACCAAAATGCCGGGGAAGGGGGGACAACACCGGGAAGCTACCTGGACTAAGAGAACAGCGCATGCATGCAGATTTGAGAAATCAGGCGAAGAAGTTGTTGAAGCTCTCACGACAGACAAGTATCGGGGCGATGGATGAAAAGTCCTGGTATCGCAATCGTAGTTGATAGCTATTGCATCGCAAACTCAATGGGTGCGGCAGAAAGCCAGATTGGCACCAATTTTTATTTTTTATTTTTTTATTCCTTGCTGCCCCAGGCCCGTTCCCCTTCCTTTCGGTTGAGATTAGATCGTCCTCCCAGCGCGTTAAAGACCTGTCAATGCCAGAGCGTCTTTCCCCCTGTCTTATGTAAGTCAGGCATTTCACGGGGTTACGGGGCCACGACGGGCACGCATGCTGGCGGTCGGAAATTGTTAGGGAGATCTCGGGTTGGACTGAGGCAAAACTCGACGACCCACCGTGATTGGCCGGCCAGCACAGCTTCGGGTCCACTGCTTCCTCACTCTCTTTTCCCTCCACTGGGCTTCTTCCAAAAAAGACTCGATTTGCACTCCTTCAAAGGCACCTTCATCAACCCCAATCTCCCCTCCACTCAATTGCATCTATTGCAATTGATTCTCCTTCGATCTAGACAGTGTCCAAGATCTCCTAATATGTTCCGCAACGCCCTCCGCCAGTCGACGCGCGCCGTCGGCGCCGTCTCTGCTGCCGGCAGAGTCGCCGCCGTAAGTCCACACCTTCCGTCAACCTCCCCATCCCCGAACCGACGTCAATCCCATCCAAAAACATCAGCAATCGATTCCGCGATATCCAATTAGGTCCCTCCGAGCTTTTTTGACCTCGCGGGAGTCGTGTTGCTGGCGTGGAAGAGCTTTTCATCGAGCTCCCTTGGGGGATGGCGTTGCTGTTTTGGGGCGGGAGCCGCCCATAACATTTTCGGCCGTTCGGCTAACCTGTTTTTCAC